GTATTCCCTCCAGACGTTTCTAACCAGGCTAAACACACTCAACGTGTTCACAAAGTGTAATTAATTGCAAAGAGAAACAAAGTCAACCCTATCGTAGAATCTTTTTTTTAAGTAACGAGTAAACGAGTCTTTCACGAGTATATGAGGTTTATATGGATTGATGGTAAATTCTAGTATGCAGTTAACAGATATCCACCTTGTTATTTTACGAGGTTTATATGGATTGATGGTAAATTCTAGTGGATCTCAATATGCAGTTAACAGATATCCACCGTGTTATTTTACGAGGTTTATATGGATTGATGGTAAATTCTAGTGGATCTCAGTATGCAGTTAACAGAAATCCACCTTGTTATTGATATATGGATGTTTATATGGATTGATGGTAAATTCTAGTGGATCTCAGTATGCAGTTAACAGAAATCCACCTTGTTATTTTACGAGGTTTATATGGATTGATAGTAAATTCTAGTGGATCTCAGTATGCAGTTAACAGAAATCCACCTTGTTATTTTACGAGGTTTATATGGATTGATGGTAAATTCTAGTGGATCTCAGTATGCAGTTAACAGAAATCCACCTTGTTATTTTACGATGTCGAATTTCGGAATTCCAAAAGTAAGGGATTTTCTGTCAAGTTTATGTTTTACAAAACCGCTGCTGTAAAATAATTAGATGTTTGACAATTTTTTTTCCAAAATACAAAGTAACGTGTGAGTTCATTTCGACATTTTGTCCTTATTCGTAAACTACTTACTATAAACAGTTATTGTTTTACTGTCATCACTAATGGATGTGTCTATTTAGTAATGTATCTATTAAGCAGGATCAATTGAGTATTTATTAAAATATACAGAAATATGATAGATAAAATACGTTGTATAGTAATTTAATATTCATAAACGATTCTCTTTTTTTTTGCCATTGTTTGTTTGTTCGTTGTTAAGCACAAAGCTACAGAATGAGCTATCTGTGCTGTGCCCACCACGGGTATCGAAACCCGGTTTTTAGCGTTATGATCCTTCAAACGTATCGCCGAGCTATTATTCAATATTAGTTATCTTGAGAACATAAACAATTATTAGCAAAAAAAAAAAAAGAAAAAGAAAAAATTCGTTTGGAATAAGTCTTGATTAAACATTCACAAAATGAAAGACGATTTGGATTTATCAACCTGAATTAGCAGGTGATGTACATGTGGACTGAACGGCCAAGACCAGGAACCCGTATATTAGCAAGTGAGGTACTTGTGGACTGAACGGCCAAGACCAGGAACACGTATATTAGCAAGTGAGGTACATTTGGACTGAACGGCCAAGACCAGGAACACTTATATTAGCAGGTGAGGTACATTTGGACTGAACGGCCAAGACCAGGAACACGTATATTAGCAGGTGAGGTACATTTGGACTGAACGGCCAAGACCAGGAACACGTATATTAGCAGGTGAGGTACATTTGGACTGAACGGCCAAGACCAGGAACACTTATATTAGCAGGTGAGGTACATTTGGACTGAACGGCCAAGACCAGGAACACGTATATTAGCAAGTGAGGTACTTGTGGACTGAACGGCCAAGACCAGGAACACGTATATTAGTAGGTGAGGTACATTTGGACTGAACGGCCAAGACCAGGAACCCGTATATTAGCAAGTGAGGTACTTGTGGACTGAACGGCCAGGAACACGTATATAATTATAAGCAACCAATCAGAAGGAACGCAGATGATCAGAAGCACCCGCAGCCACAAGAACTTTCTCTGGCTAGCTGTCATTTTTAATAATATGTAATATTACATCCTAGATTCTTGAGAACTTATTAACCACTAAACCCGGCCTTATATAATAAAAGGATTGAAGCATTTTCTAACTTCATGACTTATCAACAGAAGGTTTCTAAAGAGGCAAAAATATTTGTGTTACGATATGCAAATTTTGGGACAATAAATTTTATTATTAGAAAACAAATACATAAAAATCATATATATATATATATATATTTGTGTGTGTGTATATACATACATCATATTTATTTAAATTCACAAGTATTTATAAAGAAATGATTTCTATTACAACGTTTTTGTTCTGTAACTTTATCTATTTTATAGCAAGTCGCCTCACAAAGCAATAAGTTTACAGATACTGCGAAGATTACCAACGCCATCTGGTGGTTTACTTCATCGATATATGATTCAACTAGAAAAAAGAAAACTGTATAAATTGCAGTTTGAACCAATAACATCTTTTATTAGACACCTTTAAACAAAGCGAAGATAATTTTAGGATCTGTTACAACTTAATAAAAACCTCAAGGTGTTGTCTAAACAACACAGAATGAACTTCAGTTTGGAGAGGGCTTGAATGGGTGGTGAAAGAAACCATATTACAAATGTACAACGTTTCGACAACCTTATGTCATCGCCACTTTCTTTCGCTACCCAATCAAGCTGTCTCCAAACAATATTTTCTAGAAAGTGAGTTTCTCGTCACCAAACAAAATGAACTGTTGTTACGAAGCTACGGAAAGCGTTTAAACTTTTTAAGGGCATCTGCTTTTTTTTGGTGTGTGTGTGTGGTTTTACCTTATTTCATTCTAAAATCATCAGTTTTTAGATCATTCTAAAATCATCAGCTACCATAACTTTACATATTATCTATACTTAATTTCTCACTCAATAATATTAAACCTTTGAGGAGCAAAGTAGAAAATTAGTGAACTCCTGTACGAATCCAATTAATTAAACGTTAGGTTTCTACTGTTACCATTCATCAAACGTTAGCTTTCTACTGTTACCATTAATTAAACGTTAGGTTTCTACTGTTACCATTAATTAAACGTTAGGATTCTACTGTTACCATTAATTAAACGTTAGATTTCTACTGTTACCATTAATTAAACGTTAGATTTCTACTGTTACCATTAATTAAACGTTAGGTTTCTACTGTTACCATTAATTAAACGTTAGATTTCTACTGTTACCATTAATCAAGCGTTAGGTTTCTACTGTTACCATTAATCAAACGTTAGCTTTCTACTGTTACCATTAATCAAACGTTAGGTTTCTACTGTTACCATTAATTAAACGTTAGGTTTCTACTGTTACCATTAATTAAACGTTAGGTTTCTACTGT